TGGTCGAGGTCGAATCATACGATTATGTACCTGTGTCTCAACATATAGTGATTGAACCTGGTACATGGAGTGGTAATGTCGAATCGGCCACCGCGGGCGATGGTGAGCATGGCACCGACCAATTGAGATTTCTAGTGTCCGGTGGTGAGGTGCGTCCCGTGAATCACGCCATACGTGTGTTTAAAAGAGTAAAATAAGATTGTTCATTGCTTAATAATGAATTTTATTTTTAATTTACTTGTTAAATGTTTATTAGTCACAATTTTTATTATATCATTAATGATATATTTAATTAAAAGAGTTAAAACTTTATTTTTGAATCCGAAAAATTTCAATCATTAAAAATTAATCACTTCTGTTTGACATTGATAGTTAAATTTAATTTATCAAAGTCGGTGGGTGTATAATTTTCTCGAGACGTTGCACGGTCTCGGTCTCCCACTTTTCCATGTAGTTCATGTGGTCCACGTATACTAGCAAATCGTCCTTGCGCGTGTACTTGGTGATATCGGCCCGGTACTGTTCCAAGGTCTCGGGTGCCGATTTTAGGTCCTGAAACTCGCCTGAGCCTGCTGCTTTTGTGTTTTCATAGCGTTTGACATCGGCGGCAATTAATTTCTCCAGGGCATCGATCCGGGCGATCAATTGCTTTTTTAATGTTTCCAGGGGGTCATCGGCGCATGCTACATTTTAAAAATGATTTATTTAATTAAGGTAATTTTTATTTTGTTTTATTAAGCTGTGAGTGAAATAGTTTAGTGCAGAGGTATATGCTTTATCTAATTGTTTGATAAGCAATTGTTTTTAACCTTGAGACAAATAAGCTACTTCATTATATTAATGTAATATCCTGTTTTGTTACAATTAATATTGAATATAAAAGTGTTTATTTTAATAATTGTAGTTATTTATAATAAAATGTTCATAATTGTTATAATTGTATGATTTATACAGTATGAACCATATAGTATTTATTAATTTTTAATAAGCTATAAATTGTTATAATTAAAAAACATTTGTTTAGTTAATATTTTTATCGTGTATTTTCATTTTAATTGTATTTGATTGTACTGTACTATAATAATTTCTAAATTGCTAATTAATTATATAAACTTAAAAATTATATAGAAATAATTTATTTTAAACTTACCCAGCACCACAAATGCAAACACAAAAACTAATGCGTATTTCATTGTAATTGTTGTATTTAACAAACAACTTATTAATCACAATAAAATATTAAAAATCTAAAAATTATCAAAAAATAGTATTGAGTTTATATAGATTTTTACTTATTTTCTTATCATTTATTATAAGTGGCTTAAACTGATCATGTTCCAATAATAATGTCATTTCTAAGTATTTATTGCAGTCTATCCAAAATATAGTTATGGTACTTATAATTAAAAATTATATATTATTATTTGAACTAGCATATTTTATTAATTACAAAAAAATATTATAATATTTAATGTTAATTTAAATACGAGTCTTATTCAATAAATAATAATTTTAATGAGCATAGTACATTATACAATATATAATTATATTTATTGTACTTCTTACAAAATATTGATAATAAAAAAGGATTTAAAAATATAATATAAGATATTTAATTGAGTGAAATAGCAAAGGTGAAATATCTCATTAAACACTTAAAATAATACTACCGTAATATTCGACATTGTATTACATGTAATACTGGGTCATATCCAGTGATTTTTGCGTTTCCGAAATCGCATGTAACGTTACCTAAATAGTATTACACCCCTTCTCAGAAATCTATTACCGTAATATTCGACATTGTATTACATGTAATACTGGGTCATATCCAGTGAAGGGGTGTAATGATATCTAGTTAGTATTACACCTTATTTTAGAGTAACTTTTCTTGAGATTACCAAATGGATTAACATTAAACATATATGCTAAATTATATAAATTATTAAGAAAAATGTAAAAGTTTTTAAAATTTGACTGGATTTAGAAATTTAATTCATATCTCCTTTATCTTAGTCATTATTGTCAAATAGAGTTAAAGTTGAGAATAAACTTAGTACAGAATAATTTTTAATTCTGAATTAATAATATAAAATTCTTTGTGGTTGACTAAAGACATTTTTACAGATCTTATAGAACTAAAATTCTACTAAATTTTAAAGACAATTATTAATTAACTGATATAAATTAACTGATTAAACTGAATTTTGAGTAAATAATCAATTGAGACGAACCATTCTGATACGTTCTACGTATCTGTGCAAAAAAACTGTAAACTCAAGTATTTAACAGTAAAACATATAGTTTTGAATTTGGTTAGAATATAGTTTTAAGTGAAATACACAAGTTTACAGTTTGTTTGTACAGATACGTAGATCGTTTCAGAATGGTTCGTCTCAATTGTTGTATCGATAGTTAATTTTGAGATACCATTGCATGTAATGATATGTAGATTTCTGAGAAGGGGTGTAATACTATTTAGGTAACGTTACATGCGATTTCGGAAACGCAAAAATCACTGGATATGACCCAGTATTACATGTAATACAATGTCGAATATTACGGTATTAAAAATTATTGTATTGAGCACTATCAATTAAGATTTTATACAAACATATCACTATAATATAAATTGTTTATTGTTCCGATTTATAGTACACTTATTTAAAAAAATAAAAAATGCAACGAATGTCACAAAACCCAAAACAAACATAGGATAATGTTTTGGCAAATTGCTTGAATTATAACCATGATCCTTGCACCAAATTCGTGTGTACATAGTTTCCACCATTTTCCCCTTATAGTATAACTTCACAGAGAAATCATCAAAGTGTTGATCCAAGACATCCCTATCTGATTGACTACAAATGTCCTATGTACATTAAATAAAATATTTATTTATTTAAAATGTAAAAACTTTTTAATTTGTGCAATTAATAAACATAATAAATTATATGCATTTTATATTTAATAATAGCTCATTTTAAATATTAAATACATATCTCACATATTCTCGCTTGATACAATCAAGTAGGCCATAAAGGCCATCACACATTTGTGAATCGGTATTTGTTTTCATTGGGACATTGCAAGGTAGTTTACCCAAGCACGCATCCACACTTTCAAATTTGCTTGAATTTGTCAATGCACCATGGTCCATGCACAAACTTCGTGTGTATCTAGTTACTGAGTTCCCAGCATATATTATCAAATAATCGATACGTTTATCCAAGTCATCCTTATCCGATTGACTACAAATGCCCTATGTAGTATATATTAAATACCCTGAATATCGGGAGATAGTACGCGTATTATACGAGAAAAAAAGTGATTTTTATGAAAATTATTAAGGGGCGTACTAT